GTGTCAGTAAAAGCGCGTTTTGCGATTTAAGCATAGAAGTAGGAAAGATCGCGCGCAAAGGTAAAGGTGTAGGTAGTGTGCGGAAAGGCAAAGGTATGGGTACTGATTTGGCGATTTGGGAAAATAGTACAGGGGAATCGATCGATTCCTACATAGTACTTGGGTGTGAACGCCCCGATGCTCCTATTCTCTTACAAGGCCTCAATCAGTGCAGAATGCTTTTAAAAACTTGTAAACAAAGACTTTTTTCAATATTCTGCTTTGAGACAGTTGCCTTTTAGATTCCGGGTGAACCGAATGTTGCTGCAGTTCCTGGAGGTGGCCGAGACATTTTGGATATGGTTTATCGGGTTTTTCGAGTACTTCTCTTCCTTTCGGTATGCGCTCTTTCGTTGCTTTGCTTTTCTGCCCAGTTATCTTCATATAATACATCCAAATTTTGCTTATTTTTTATTATTCCTTGAATTCTGCTTTTCAGGCGGTACTGCTTTATTCTTCTCTTGAACGCTTCCTTGCCGTGGTGACCATTGCCCTGTTTATTTTCTTCATTCAACTGAGGAGAAATCAGCAAAGGCAGGCTCGTATGGCTGAACCAGTTGAGCCGAACGTGAATAACAATAACACAGGCGAACAGTCCCATGATGCAGCGGAAAACGTGCGTTTTTTTCGTGTTATTTTCTTGGTGCTGGTGTCGAATAAGTACGCGGTCCATGGGTTAACCGTTTTGGGCAGGTGATGCTGTGTTCATACTGCGCGTCAGTGTTTCGAACGTTTCGCGCGTAGTTTTGAACTTCTCGCGGGCAGTCGCCGAAAACGCTGGCGAACTTTCAAAACGCTAGAACTTTTTAGTTGCTTAAAAAGCTGATGCAACGTATGAATGCAGCCTAACGTGTTTGAGACGTCGCTGACAGCTATATAGTATAGGTTTACATGTTAAGTGACGTCAGCAACCCGTCATCTGTGAAAGCAAAAGTACATCATATCATGTGATGGAGAGGGCGTGGCTGTGTATTTCATTTGGCACAGGACATGGTGTAGGATGCTTAGGATGCTTTTCGTAGGGTATTTCCATT